GAATGTTCAACACAAAGATTATGAAAGACGTCTTGGCAAGCGAATCGGAGCTTGAAATTAGCAAAAAAAGGAGGTTTTGTGTTTGGTAAATCACGTGGTAGTTCGGAAGGCGATATGAATCCGTAACTCATGATCACAATAGAATCTTAAATTAATGGAGTATATATTCTTGGTTCTTTCAGTAAAGTCACGTAGAAGGGAAACAAGAATATGAATCCCTGCAGTCACGAAAGCTTTAAATCAAAATTTAATGGAGTATGTTAGATTATATTCTTGGTGCTTTTGGTAAAGTCACGTTGAAGGGAAAACAATAAAATAATAGGATATATATAAAAACAATAAAATTCTCAATTTATGTTAGATTAATTATATATTTTCTGATTTCTCATGCTGAAAGCGTAAATCCATTACCGCTGTCCGAATTGTAACAAGAGGGAGCAAGATAACTCTCATAACAATGATCCATTATTAACAAAACTGGTATAAAGCAATATTGTTCTTAAGGACTTGCCCTATAGAAAACCAGCTAAATTGATAAAAGATTTGCTCTGAACTAGGAAAGGAAAAACGAGCACTTAAAGTATTCATAAAACCAAATGGAAGTGCGCTCCTTCTCCTCCCGTCGCAATAATATCATTATGTCCGATGTCATTATGAGGTGTCACTCATGGCTTTCTACATTAGGGCACAGCCTTTTAAATCGGCTCCTACAATATATATTTTTTTAAATCCGAGGTAAAAATAACAAGAAATGAACTGGACAGATGCAGAGATGAAATGAGGCTGGGAGAAAGAAAGCAAAATAAATAAATCAAGCAGAACAACTGACAAACAAGACTTGAAAAGAGAGGGAGAGAGAGAGAGACAGACGGGCAAGCCGAGGGGGGAAGGGAGCTTTGGCGAGAGAGAGCGATAGAGAGATTGTGTGTGTGTGGGGGGGGGTAAGGTGGAGGGAGGCGAGTGTTATCGGAAGCGTTTGACGCAAGCACCTGCATAGGTGACTCAATCCAACGAGCTCAGACGCGCCTCCGGACCTTTTGTCGGACGACCTGAAGCCTCGTGGTATTTCTGGAAACGCAGCGCTTAAAATAACGAATCCGCCTTCAAGCGCGCCGTGTGGCTATCGTACACGTCACCATCTATTTTTTTTTGCCAAATGTTTATTTTTGTTGTTCCCCCCCCCGAATCTATTTATTTATTTTTGCCATGCGGCTCAATTGTGCGTCACTTGTCTCGGCCCATTGCAGATTTGGCCCCGCAGTGAATGAGGTTCGCGGCTGTCAAAAGAAACCACACCACCGCGAGTGATTTATTTTCACTTGATTTATGCTGCTTCGTGTGCCGTGGTACATTAACATTTTTATTTATGTAGCGCTTCAATAATAGGCGTGGGTTGCAAAAATAAAGCAGGTAATTAAATAAAATAGCGTAGAAGGAGCCAATAAAAAGGATCCATCATCGTTGGCCACAATCTCTCCCCTGCGGACAAAGGCCTCCCCAACCCTACAGAGCCGTATTTTTATTTCGACAAATATTTCTTTTCTCTTCTTTGGTTCTTTCGGTAAAGTCATGTAGAATGAGAATAAAATAATAAATTGATAAAATAAAATAACACAATAATATTCTCACGACGTTTCGGCCACAACACAAGCGGCCTTCATCAGGTGACTGTCCCAGTCTCGTCCCTTCACCTGATGAAGGCCGCTTGTGTTGTGGCCGAAACGTCGTGAGAATATTATTGTGTTATTTTATTTTATCAATTTATTATTTTATTCTCATATTACGTGACTTTACCGAAATAACCAAAGAAGATGAATCCTTGCAGTCACGAAAGCTTTAAATCGAAATAAAATTCCTTTTCTCGTCATATTTTTTTTATGGAACTGCACGCATCTGGTGCACTGGCCATCGTGTGTTTTCTACTCGCCAGATTTAAGGATGATGCGACACGCTCAGGCAAACGATCCAGCTCGTACGCGCGTGCTGGGTGGATCGTTACCTTGCAGGATTATGAGAGAGATGTGGACGGGTTGGGGGGGGAGGCCTTCCTCCAGCAGTGGATTGACCAAGGCTGATGATGATAATGATCCACTCCAGGTATTTTGTGCAACCGACCAACGTCGTTCAGGCTGCCTCTCATCTTTCCTCGTCGTCACGGTTTCAAGACTTGTTATTGTGCGTTGGACCAGAGCGTCACCTGGAAGGGATCTGAGGTAGCTGCCCACTCCAACTCCCCATGGTCACCCATCATCAATCCACTCGCCTCATTTCGATCTTTGTTTGTGCCACGCATCGTCACCACCACCTCATTTTACATGTATCCCATCCACTGATCTCCTTTCATCTCGCCAACCAACTTGTACCATAGTTCACTGTACAACGCCTTGGTTAAGGCGCCGTATATAAATAAGATATCCGCCTCCGTGGGCCATTCTCCAAGACGGAGGGGTCGCAGTGCTCTGCGGGAGATCCTGATGGATACTTCGTCTCCTTGACGTGACGCCGACAGCCACGAGCAGCATAAAACTGGGGGGGGGGGGGGGGGGGGGGGGGGGGGGGGGGGGGGTGGGGGTGGAATTACCGGCAAAAAAAATCAACATGTTGAGGTTTTTCTTGACACGTGGGGAATGTGAGCCAGGCCCCGGGGAAGTGACTGTTGCGTGGTAATTGCGGTGTTTGCTGCCTGGTAATTGTGGTAGGGCACAGACCTAAAAATTAGGCTACGTCTGGAATAAACGAATTTGACGCCTGAATGGGATAGTTGTTTGTTTTTACTTTGCTTGGTCAGATGTGTTTGGCGCGGTTATGCAACATGTTGTAAAACCGTTAGCATTGTTTGGAAAATTAATTGCATTATATGATATTGGCAACATTTTTAAACCTAAATATAATACAGTATTTAAATGAAGATAAGAATATTAATTATTTACACCAGACAGTCTCAATCGTTCTCAAGACACTTTTCAGGACATTCCTGCATTTTGGATGTTTGGCTAATTACATTTAAAACATTGCTTTGGCATTTGGGAAGAAATGTGAGCTCCCGCAGAAAACCCACCGTGTGTGGAGTAGATCAATTATTTGGTGAAGCTGCTGCATTGGCAGTGGTGCACAAGCACAGTTAACAAAAATAAAAAAAAATTCAACCCATTCACCAATAACACTGGGTTGAAAAGCAAAAATATGTGAGGTGTGATGTTTCGGGCCATTTCCCTTCGTTAAAGCATGTGCTATGAACGCACATGATAGGCCAGCACTCAAACGTTTCACACAGATCTGTTCATGATGGCACTTTTGTTGCACTGCCATCTCCCCGTTACCACCTTGCTGCCCAGCGTGTTTGGGAATCTTGCAAGTAATAAAGAATTAAAGCTTTCGTGACTGCATAAATTACTCATTGGTTTTTTCGGTAAAGTCATGTATGTTGAAATACCATAAAATTATATTAAAATAAATCAATCACGACGTTTCGACCACAACACAAGCGATCTTCATCAGGTGTAAAAAACAAATAGCGAGGGAGCATATAGGGCCACACCAATGCAACACATAGAGAGCGCCAAACTGCACAGAGGTAAATACAACAAGAAGATGAGAGGCGAGAATTCAACAAACCTAAGAAAAAATTAGGTGATGCAAAACCAGTCAGACCAACAACACAGTTAGACACTTGCCTGGTGGACCACGAATTTCAGAAGAGTGCTAAATTTCGTGTTCATCCTCTGGATTGAACATACCAGCATAGACAGAGTGAACAAATACGAGGTACAAGTCAGCAGAAATACATGTACAGGGACACCAAGAGGCAAGGAGAGGAAAGACGGACAGAGAAGCAAGGAAAAAGAAAAAGGGCCGGAGGGATGAACAGACAAAGGCCTTAAATAAGAAGTAGAGGTGGGGGGGAGGTGCTTAAGAGAGCAAGGTGGCACGGCAGCATAGGCGGGGGGAGGGGTAGGTGAAAGCAAGGGGTGCAACACGTTTAGGACAGAATTGTAAAGGTAACTTCCCCGTAGAAGTGTGTTAATAAAGAATTAAAGCTTTCGTGACTGCATAAATTACATATGTGTTGCGTTGGTGTCACCCTTTATGCTCCCTCGCTATTTGTTTTTTACACCTGATGAAGATCGCTTGTGTTGCGGTCGAAACGTCGTAATTGATTTATTTTAATATCATTTTATGGTATTTCTACATACGTGACTTTACCGAAAAAAACAACGAGTAATCTTGCAAGTGTCTACATGATTCACCAACCCTCGACTTTTTAAAGTGCTGCATCACGGGCATGTGCCACTACATCTTGTCTAAATCGAGTCTCAAGACACTTTTACAGGAGGGTCTTGTTTGCGACATTTGGCCAATCATGAGTCTCAAATGGGAGGAAGCGACCAATTGGAAATCACGATCACGATGAGCGTGCGTTTATTTTAATCCGCGGAGGTTGGTGCACGCAATTCACAATCGCAAGGTTACAAGATCAAAAATGCAGGCAAGCGGCTCGACTCAGCCCATCCCTCTAGGGTCAATAACACGAGTACCACTCTGCGGTAAGTCAATAGTGGCTCTCGTTTGAACACAAGGACCTCTTGCCAAATGAATGTGGATTTTCCACCACTGGCTTGAGGGAGCCGTTTGTTTTCATGTACGGTTTTCCGTGAAGCGCGAGAGCGTTATATGTATGTTGAACTTCCTACGTACCATAGCCAACCATGCTAATCGGGCGTGTGGGGAAGGATGAACTAAACACAAAAACCTGTTCTTAAAGAAATTCGTTTTTAATTTATATTCGAAAGTGCCATAGCTCCAGTGGCTTCCTAATATCGGAAGGAAGAGCGTTTCCAGACGGCCGCAGAAACGCGTCTTGAAAGAGCGCGATTCCGTAACCGTCTTTGTTCGATGGCGATACCAAAACCGCCGCGAGGATGACCAGAGTTCACGTGATGGTTGTTGTTGATGTCGTCGTCGTTCATGTTCCTCTTGATGATGATGATGTTTTTGCCCAGGTGCCTGCCTGAAGGAGCTCACTACCTGGTACCAGACCTCAACTCCGCTCTGAGCCTCATCGACTCCACCCCAGCGATTCAGGAGAAGCTGGATGGGGTGTGGATCTTAGGAGGCGGCGGTGTATATAAGGTAAGAGGATCATAGATTAAGGAAGTTTTTCAGTCCTCATCTGTTGGTGTGTGTGCATTTGTGTGCCTGACTCTGCGTGGCCTTTTTTTCAACGGTTTTATTTCACTTGACTCCTGTTTTGTCGTGGTCAAATCTTGTAATCGAAATTTAGTCCCCTTCCTCTTGTCCAATCAATTCGAAATTTTGCACACGTACTCGGATCCGGAGACGATTCATGCCTGTTTCAAATTCGGCATCAATTAATTGGCTCCTTTCAAGCAATTACAATTTTAGTATGGACGCCTTATTAATTATATTTTTTTTTCGTCGGTCAAAAACGCCGCGGTCCCTAAACTGGAATCGCCTCGCACAAAAAGCAGGCGCCGCGTGTCTCAGGCACGCCTGCTCCGTGTGAACGAGTAGTACATTGAAGATCCATTTTATCAAATAACCAATTATTTCAAGTCAGTGTTGATGTGGGAGCAGGCGTACTTCTCGAGGGTGAGTTAAACGAAGTTGTGAATAAAACCGTTGTGTTTTGTTTAAACTTTTTTTAAGGAGTTTAGTGTGTCTCTGCATCTGTCTGTATTTCTGTGAGTCTCTGCATGTGTTCGTGTATTTCTGTGTTTATCTCTCTGTCTGTCTACCTTTATCTCTCTTGAGTATTTGTCATTCTGTATTCCGCGTCTCTGTATCTTTGTCACTTTGTGTTTTCGTGTTTGTCTCTCTCTCTACGTCCCCTTCGCCCCCATCTTCTAAGCATCAAATACGAGTTGCTGGCTCACAAGCACCCACGCGTAACCCAGGCGTAGTCACAGGAAATTCACAAAATGAGTCGAGGCCGTGCAAAATTCAGAATCGGAATCTTTATTTAGACTGGAGGAATCCGATGAGCAATGGAGATGTCCAGCGCACATTGATTTTGATGTGTTTAATAAGAATTAATATGTATGATGCGCATTCCATCCTCGGATCCCAATGTGCAAAGCATGAAAAGCAGGAAACAAAAAACAGAACCAGGGGCAACCGACCAACTAAAGAGGAAAGGCTGAATAAAGAGATGGGTTTTAAAAGCAGACTTGAATATCTCTTTTGTCTTCGATCGCCTGATTTCAAGTGGCAAGGCGTTCCATAGCTTGCGTGCCACCCTAACAAAAGCCCGATCACCAAAAGAACGCAACTGAGACCTGGGAGTGCTGAGCAGTTGGAGATCATAAAATCTTAAGGACCTTGATGGAATATATAAATGCATTAGTTCCTGCAAGTAATGTGTGGGGATGGTAAAATAGGAGATTAAAATTAGCCACAGTGTCTTCCACTCCCACCAAGCAGCCTCGTGTCCCGCCACCACTCATCCAATCGCGCCGCGTATTTATTTTCGGAAATCGCAATTGCATTACCTTGCAAGGCAAGTGTGCATAAACACATTAAAAACGACTTAAGGCCACTGGTGTTGGACAATAAACTAATTTGTGTGTAAGTTTATTTCAGTCGTCATTAATTCCCAATCGCCACAGATGTCAGTTCCCACGCACGCACGTACACGCGGCTGGTGGTTCCGATAACGTCACCAAGCACCCGCCCATCACCTCCCGTCCAGCGGCACACGTTTAGAAGAGAAGCAGATATTTTTTTTCCCCAACTACTTTCGTGTTATCCGATTAGTCAAGCAGTTGTACCGATTGTCAATAAATTGACCGATTACTTACATGATCGGAGAACCCAGCTCCAATTCTATCATGTACTTAGCAGTCGCCTTCCCACCCAAGCCATCGATACAATGGCTTTATCTTCGACTGTGATTTCGGCAATTGGTACGTTCTGCTAATGATCATGTTGGCTACGTACGGTGCGAAAGAAGTTCAAGATACATACATGTTTCTGGCCCAGAAACATGTATGTATACTCCGCATGTTTCTGACACGAGGAGTATAGCCAAAGGAGTGTAGAGAGATGCGTGCTTTGAATTGCATTGCGAGAAGGAAAGGGATAGAACGCTTGTATTCGGGCAAGGTGAAGACCCAAATCAAACTATGAAGAAAAGTAAGTGGGCTTTGGGGGAGGACACGTCGCGAGAAGGGATCACGGGCAACGGTCTAGAATAATAACGGAGTGGCAGCTCGGGCAAGAGCCGTGTCCGAGACGGCATCCACGAGAGAGACGGAGCGATGAGATCAGCTTGCCTGCAGGCACTCGGTGGATTTTTGCATCGTGACGTCTTGGGAAGGCCTTCATCCAGCAGTGGATTGATCAGAGCTCTGCTCTTCTGTTGGCGCGAACGTGGCTTTTGCGGATCCCTCGGGATTTGCGTTTCAGAGGAGAGCGGCGCTTGGAGCAGTAGAATGAGCTGCTGTGCGCTCTCCTCTAGAGGATTCCATCCCAAGCTCGAGTTTGCAACCTCAACCCCAACCCTGACCTTTCTTCCTTGCCCGTGCGTGTTTTTATCCGCGTAGCCTCGTTATTGCACCGTACATCACTGCGTTTCAACAATGCAGCCCTTATTTTTAGTATGGTACAGTATTTTAAAGTCAAAACGTGCCGCTGCCCAACTGAGTTAGCCCATAGGTGGGCCCAGAAATTCCATGTTCTAACGGTAGTTTCATTCTTGTCATTGAACGACTGTAAGCACTTAACGCTGGGTTGATGCGTTGATCTTAGTAACATGTTTACGCTCGTCACGAACGTGTTGAACCATGCGCGTGAGAATTGATGCAGTGATAATGCACTTCATGTAACGGTGCTAAATAATTAAAACAAGAAACTATAATCGACAAGTACTAAACATACCCTTTGGTTTTGATTTAAAGCTTTCGTGACTGCAGTAATTCATATTCTTAGTTCTTTCGGTAAAGTCACGTTGAAGGGAAACAACAAAATAATAAAATATATATATAAAACAATACAAATTCTCACGACGTTTCGACCATAACACAAACGGTCGTCTTCAGGTGTGTCGGTTTGCATACATGTATTTATTTTTAAACGGTGTATTTATTTATTAAAAAAACGTTAGCGCCACGCGCAGCGATTTGGCAGTTTATTTAGACGGACTAGTCCATCTATGTTCTGAAAAGAGGAGGGGGGAGACGAATTTTTTTTTTATGTATGCTGTCTGAAAGCCACTGTAAGCGTGAACAATCAATTAAGACCTGAAATGGTTTATCAAATCTTTCCAATCATTGCTAAGCCAGAATCCATCTTCTCGGTTGAAATTGTCTCTGTGCTTGTATATGTGGATAGCCTCATGAACAAATCTCTCATGGTAGCCAGATGGCTTACAAAGAACCTCTGTCTTGGAAAAGTCAATATCATGTGAGCCTACTGAATTATAACAATGATCTGCCACGGCCGAGGTGTTGGTCCTACCGTGTTTAAGGTCTGCTTTGTGTTTCAAAAACCATTACTTTACCCTACATTGCGGGGATCACAAGAAAGATCTCCAAAATCTTGAATAAACACAAGATCCAGGTCCGTTTCAACACATTACATAAAATCCGTGATCTGGTTCCATCTGTAAAAGGTGTGATTCCGGACATACAATACCCTGGTGTCTACAAACTAAGTTGCCTCTGTGGTAGTAGTTACATTGGAGAAACCAAACGCCATGTCTCGGACTGCATTCGTGAACACAAAGCAGACCTTAAACACGGTAGGACCAACACCTCGGCCGTGGCAGATCATTGTTATAATTCAGTAGGCTCACATGATATTGACTTTTCCAAGACAGAGGTTCTTTGTAAGCCATCTGGCTACCATGAGAGATTCGTTCATGAGGCTATCCACATATACAAGCACAGAGACAATTTCAACCGAGAAGATGGATTCTGGCTTAGAAATCATTGGAAAGATTTGATTAACCATTTCAGGTCTTAATTGATTGTTCACGCTTACAGTGGCTTTCAGACAGCATACATAAAAAAAAAATTTCGTCTCCCCCCTCCTCTTTTCAGAACATAGATGGACTAGTCCGTCTAAATAAACTGCCAAATCGCTGCGCGTGGCGCTAACGTTTTTTATAAATAAATAAATACACCGTTTAAAAATACATACATTTATGTAAACCGACACACCTGAAGACGACCGTTTGTGTTATGGTCGAAACGTCGTGAGAATTTTTATTGTTATATATTTTATTATTTTGTTGTTTCCCTTCAACGTGACTTTACCGAAAGAACTAAGAATATACCCTTTGGTTCTTTCGGTAAAATCACCTACATAGAAAAATAAATAATAGATCACGACGTTTCGGTCGCAACACAAGCAATCGTCTTCAGGTGAAAAAATACATCAGGCGGACTGCTGAGGCAGGAAGAAATGTAGCGAGAGAGCTACTGCAGTCAAAGGTTATAAGGTTTGAGGTGGGTACAACCCAAGGGTAAGTGGGCGGGGCTAGAGATGGAATTTGCAAGTAAATGTAAGATCATATTCTTGGTTCTTTCGGTAAAGTCACGTTGAAGGGAAACAATAAAATATAATAAAATATATAAATATAATAAAATATATATTTTATTGTTTCCCTTCAACGTGACTTTACCGAAAGAACCAAGAATATGAATCACTGCAGTCATGAAAGCTTTCAATCAAAATGTAAGATCGCAGAGCTAGGCATAGCTCGGCTAATCCGAGGGGGAGGGGCTGCCGTAACGGGCGAGATGGTGGGGGTGAAATTCAAAGAGGGAAGAGGGTGGGAGAGAGAAAAAAGATCCAACTTTGAAATGTAATGCAACTCAAGAGAGTCGGCCAACACAACAGTTGACACTTTACCTGGTTGATCAACGTCCTTCCAAAGATTGCTCAATTTGCATCCATCTTCTCGGTTGAAGTAATGTCCGAGTTGTGTGGAAATCCTCCCCGCAGAGGCGGTTCAATCTTGATTTGAAGCTTTCGTGACTGCAGAAAATTCATACTCTTTGGTTCTTTCGGTAAGGTAACGTTGATAGAAAAATAAATAATCGATCACGACGTTTCGGTCGCAATACAAGCAATCGTCTTCAGGTGAAAAAATACAGCAGGCGGACTTC